TAATTCCCATAGAGCTCATTACATACAAAACAAAACAAATCCAAAAGTAAATGTTCTTTATAGTATTACAGAGATCATATTACTCAAACTACGCATCCTTGATTCTTTCAGATATATGTGTGTGTATGTGTGCACGAGTTGAGGGGATGTAAGAAGGAAGTAATAGGTACCCATGGTAGAAAAAGTCACATTGAACCAGGACAGCTCTGTTTCAAGGGCAGTATCAACTGACAGTAGAAAACAGTTTGGGATTAAAAACAAAAGCAGTAACAAAACCTGCATCGTAGGCACAATATTTCATAGAAAATGTTAGCTGTTGCATTATTTTATTTGGCAAAGCTTGTTTTTCCCAGATGAGTCTTCAATACCATTTGTAGAATGCCAGACTGAGCTCTCTAATGCCTCACAAGCTCTACTTCATTAAGACCTTTTTGTAATCTAAAGGAATCATGTTGTGAAGACCCTTAATAAGGTATGCTACAGAAGCAATCCCCAGACTACTTGATCACTGGGATACCATTCCTGGAGTGGATTGCTGGATATCACCATACCCCTGCCTCCCCATTATCCCAGATAAATAACTGAAGTTATGTAAGGTACGAGGGCTTCAAGAAAAGGTTTGACTTTTTGAGCTATAGTAATTATTTTTTTATAAACAATGTATTCTGACAGCATTTTCCTTTTCTTATCAGCACCCTCAGATTCCAATAGGTTCTCATTAGCAGCACCTAGCCCAGGAATTCTCTGTTTCTGCTGTTGAAGGCTCTGATAAACATACAATCATTTTCACAAACACTCTAGGGAGCAAGACCACAATTTTGATTAAGAAAACTGTTGAATATTAACTAGCAGGGCTCACTGAGACAATAACTGAGCAACTTGTCCTTGAAAAACACACTACACTAAACCTATTCTCAGGGAAAAATGTTGATGTTTGGTAGCTGCCACTACTCTGGAAACCTAGAATGCATCTTGATATGGTAGTAGTCTTTCAGTAAAATCACCATGATTAAGGTGCTGTCATTATTTTTAATTTAAAGTTCTCCTTTCACAGGTTAATCAATTCAGACGTTTAAAAAAAAAAGTCCACCCTGTGGTAGAATTCAGTTCAGACAATACTGGCTTCATATATATGTAGGTTGTGAGCCTTCCATTTCCAAAGATTCCCCATATAGTTATGGTTTTAATTGATTATTTCCCAAATTGTTATTTTGTCTTGTTTTAATTTTCTAAGGATGTATGAATGAAAGTTTCTGTGGTCTATACGACAAAGATTAAAATTGATTTTAATCTTTTAAAATTTTCTTGGAAAAGCTATTGCGAAACACTCTGCTCAAGTAAGAGCTCTGAATTCAACTACTTTCAAATCTCATCTGCTTAAACAGGTTTAGAGGATAAGAAAAAAATTCTATCTAGTAAAAAAACTCTAAGCACAGCACAATGAGTTCTTATGCATATTGTTAAAAGGAAATGAAAACATTAAATGCAGATGACAGAGGGGATATTAAGTACTCATAAACACTAATATTTATAAATGCCATTTGTCTTCCTACAAATTTCAAAGTTCTTACTCTACAATTTTAAGTACATTAAGAGAACATTAGCATCTTCATGCAGACAAAAGACAGAAATTTCCATTAAAAACTAAAAATGAAGGAGAATCAGAAATGTAAGGCAATTATATTTCATTTCTCTCTGCACTGCTTTCTCATTTTTATTTTACATATAAATAGAGTTCCTTACAATATACTCTGGTATGTAGCTCGCAAAATATAACAAAACCCATATCCATATAGAGATGCTTAAACACAATAGCATCACTGGTTTGTTTTTCATGCATCATATACTAATACATTTTTCTTTCATTCCAACTTTACAATTAAGAAAACCTAATCAATTAAAAACAAATGTCCGCTAAATATACACACATACACACAGACACACAGAATACACATATACACACAGTATGACAACATCTAACATGTTATGATAACTTTAAATATGAATACATCCCAAAATTCTCACATTTAAAGTTTTTAATAAAATTACATTCCTAAAAACAATTACATTTCTCATGAAATTTACTGGAAAAAAAAAAGTCTAGATGCAAATTCATTCCACAAATCAATAATTTGGAAAACCAAGAACCTCACCTTATTCTAAATGCAAATTACTTACCATATTATTTACCAATCACCATATTCTCAATTAGAAAAAATAAAACACAAAACTCTCAATTGTTATTATCCCAGGTGGGATAAAAACATAAACTTTCATTGACCTCAAACAAAAAAATAGATTGTTTCGCCCTTAAGAATAAAATAGTCCTTGATGCAGAATACCTTCATCAAGATTTTAATACAACTTTTTCTTTTACCCCTACCCCCTGCCCCACTAGACTACTGGTAAACAATTTTTTTTTTTTTTAGCATCTGGCATGGAACTTAGAGCTCTTTTCTCCCCATATGCTTTTCTCGATTAAAAAAAGTTCAAACAGGCTTTTGCTTTCAGTTAAGACAATAAAGAATTAAACGACGTAAGATTCTTTTCCTCCATTTAAAAATTATTTATTTTAGCCAGGCGCAGTGGTTTACGGCTGTCATCCCAACATTTTGCGAGGTCATGGCGGGAGGACTGCTTGAACTCGGGAGTTCAAGAGCACCATAAGCAACATAGGGAGACCCCATCTCTACAAAAAATTAAAAATTAGCGAGGCATTGTGGCATGCATCTGAAGTCCCAGCTACTTGGGGGCACTGAGGTGGGAGGATGTCTTGAGCCTGGGAGGTCGAGGCTGCAGTGAGCCATGATCATGCCACTGCATTCCAGCCTGGGAGACACGAGACACTGTCTCAAAAAAAAAAATCATTTGTTTTGCATGTTTTTAGTAAACAGAGGTTTGTAAATTTGAATGCTATTTTCTTATTTTCTAGCTTTTATAGACTATTGCCCTTCTTGTGAGTTAGGGTTGGAAGCAAAAGTAAAAAGTAAACCACTCCCACTAACAAAATAATCTTGTCCGTTGGTAAGCTTTTTGATATGAGGTATATGAATTATTGATAGAGCTTCAAAGATAGACCTGAATTTTTGAACTCTAGTATTTTTTTTACAAAAGCACACTGAAACCACTCCTGGTTTATACCAAAGTTATCTACACTTGCATAGTAATTCTTTAATAATTATCATGATTCAATTTTTGCACAGATAACTAAGTGTAAATTTATATGTGTTCAGGATTATGAGATGTGAGTGCTTTATTTCTTTCAACCTAAAATATCAAATGTAGTTAAGACTAAATTGTGTTCATTCTAGGGTTCGAGTGTTTATGTTCCTGTTTCCAGGGCTAGTGGAGCATTGCATGAAATAAGAAAGAGCCTCTGGGAAAAGAAATCTCAGAGGAAGAAGGGAAAAGAAAAACGAGGTGCACATGTTTGGTTCAAGGCCAGTTGTCCCAGATGCTAGGGAAGATAAAACATACCTCCAATTGTGTTCTATCCCAGGCTTCATGGGCTTAACCTTGAGTCCTAAGGCAAAGGATCTACAGGTAATGAGCAAGTGAAATCTAAAAGCAGCTGCTTGTCTACAGAATCACCCTGGGACATGGAGAGCCCCAGGCATCAGCAGAATTGGCACTGGCAGCAGCAGGGCTTGCAGTGTTGGCAGCAGCACTAATGACAGCAGTGGTGCAGTTAGTGATAACAACATATTTGGCAGCAGCAAGAGTTCCTTTAACTCCTTATACATTAGCTCCCTGCACCTTGAGCATACACAGCCCGGGTCTTGATGGTAACAGAGATGGCAGACAACAGTAGAAGCCGCAGCAGCAGCAGTTTCTTCTATGCCAACTAGCAGCACTTTCATCTCTCAGTGACTGAGAGCACAGCGAGGGAAGTAGGACAATATAAAAGTCGAGGTAACATAATGGGCATGATGGGATGGACCTCACAGCCAGTCATAGCTGGGTTAAAACCAAGCACTGCCATGTAATATATCAAATAATTTTTAAAAGTGAATTACAGTGACACTGCTCAAATTATTTAACCTCTCTATGCCTCAAATTTCTTGTGTGTAAGATGGAAATAATAACAGTCCCCATCTAATATGATTGTGATAATGTTTAATGGGATAATTTAAATAAATAACTTATGAGAGTATCTGTCAGATAACAGGGACTCAATAATGATCAACTTTAAAAATGTGGAGGGCAACTCAAAAACTCAGTGTGCTGTGAGGCCTATTTCTTCCCACCAGGTCTCACAGAAGACCTGTGGGACTCCGAAATTATTTTCAAAAGAATAAGATAGGTTAGGCCAGGTACAGTGGCTCAGGCCTGTAATCCTAGCACTTTGGGAGGCCAAGGCGGGTGGATCATCTGAGTCAGGAGGTCAAGACCAGCCTGGCCAACATGGTGAAATCTCATCTCTACTAAAAATGCAAAAATTAGCTGGGTGTGGTGGCGGGCACCTGTAATCCCATATATTTGGGAGGCTGAGGTAGGAGAATTGCTTGAGCTGGGGAGGCAAAGGTTGCAGTGAGCCAAGATCATGCCACTGCACTCCAGCCTGGGCGACAAGAGCGAGACTCCATCTCAAAAGGAAAAAAAAAAAAAAAAAAAAAACAAGAAGTAGAAGAGAGGCTGGAGTATGCAGAGGCTCACTCAGAGAAATGTTATGAATGTTATGTTTGGGCAATTATTTTTGTCCTAGATCCCCCTCTATAAATACAAGAGGTCTGGGAATACAAAGGCTGCCTAATATTATTTTCTGATTTTATAATTTCAAACCTCCAAAGTATTTGTTTTCCATTCATATCACATAAGCACAACATTTTTTAAAAGTAACCTTAAAACACTTTATTACAACTCAAGATTACGAAGTAAATTTCAGCACATTTTAATAGAAAGAATATATATAAGAAAGGTACAGTTTAATAGTGTCCAACAAATGATTTTTATTATCTATGTTATTTGTTATGTGCTAATTATCCAAGATTTGAGTGCATCATTCATATTGAAACATATTAATAGAATAAAATAAAAAATAGTTTTCAAATCATAATAAATAGCATCATGATTTCTACTCCTTTTTCTATAATAATCTTCAATGTTAGTGCTACTTGCTCAGAAAATTCCTCATAGCTAAATACATGTTGCAAGGAGCTTTATTTAAATAGACGTCTTTTACTAAATAGTGATGTATTTCCACCTTTTGTGCTATGTTTAGCAGATTCAAATGACTCTATGTAGTTACGAATATTAGGAAGTAAAGTAAATTTAAGGACCATAAGACGAATGCAATTTTGAAACTCGGCAGAAAACAGATTTCCCAAAGTATAAAGTTGGTGATTTAGACAGGTGTCTTCTCTACTTCAAAAGGCATCTCATGCAGTAAAATGCACTAAATTTTCTTAGAATTGTTGTAAAATGATTATCCAACTCTACCTAGAAGCAAACAAGCTACAGATCATATTAGTCTGACAGATTTGCCATTTTAGTTCTCTCAACTGCACCTTGCTCAGAAGCAGATGCTGAGCCAGAGTTAAAAGTATGAGACTGCTGGGGAGTAACACCAGGAAATGTAAAGGGGAATGAAAAAAGGTTAATGCAAGGAAAGGCTTCAGACTGCAAGGCATATCTAACATTTGTGGGGGGAAAAAAGAGGGTAAGAAGAATTGGACACGGAGAACAATGCAGGGAATGCAATAAAAATTCCAGAGTGTCTTGACTAACCCATGTGGCACTCTACCAAAAAGACAACTGGTCAAGTGAATCCTACATTGGAAGAAATGGTCAGGTCCCTAGAATCCCATCATGCTTAGTCATTGGCTGGGAGATGATCTGGAAAAGCACGTCCTGAGCTTGAATCTTGCAGAGGATTCTAAAGGTTTGGGAGCCAAGACCTGTCATCTACCTGTATTCGTCATAGCTGAAGAACAAGTTCTTTCTTGAAGGAAGACCAAGAAGCAAACCTCCACAACAGTCACATATCTCAACAAGGTGGAAAGCCAAAGCCCCTTTGTGAAGCACCGGTAAAGAAAGCTTCATCATATTGAAATTAAACATATTTATTCATATGTGGATTATCAACGTGTTTGATCTTTCCATTCCTTGAATTCTCAAAACCAACTATATTCCTCTTGCAAAACAGCCTTCAGATAGTTGAAATTAATTTTCTTATACCAACTGCATCTTCACTTGTCTAATTTTTAACACCCCATATCCCTTAAATTTCTTTCCCTTTCCTACAGAAACTAGAACCTCACCTTGCCTGAGGGCCCAGTATCTTGGGATAGGCATAGGGATGACAGAAACTCAGTCTTCAGTATATGGAGATGAAGTAAATGTGTAAGTCACTGGGTATTTCAGATATCTATTTCTACAAAACAAAACACTCCTAAATTTAATGGCTTAACACGACTGTGTATTTGCTTATTTTACAATTTGAGCAAGGCTCAGCTGGCTGGCTTTTCTGCTGATCTCACATAGGCCATTCATGCAGAAGCAGTTTTCTGCGGGCTCATTTGGGGCTGAAATCCAAAATTACCCTACTCACACACCTGGTGATTCAGCTGAGATAGCTGGAACAACTGCTAGCTAACCAGGCATCTCTCTCACTCTCCTCGCAGCATCTCCAATAGGGTAGCCAACCACACTACATGATGGCCCAGGGGTCCAAGAGAGTGAAAGTCATAGCCGCTAGCCCTCTTAGAGCCCCTAACTGATATAATATTACTTACACCACACTGTATTATTCAAAGCAAGTCACAGGTTTACCTCCTGGGTACAAGAGCAGGAAAAATAGACCCTACTTCTTAATGAGAGAAGCAGCAAAGCATCTGTGGCCAATTTTAATCCACTACTGAAGCAAAGCTGTTATCAAACCGGTAGCATCAATCTCCAGGGAATGAAAAGACACAAAAATGAGGAAAAAAGCAATAGATATAGAGATGGTCCAGATAGAGCAAGTAGGTTCTATACCAAAGGCAGAAGAGACAAATCCAGCAATAACCTAACTGTATAGCTTTAGAATCTCATTGCTATAAGACCAAAGACTAGTTCCAGCACTTATGACATTAGACTAGCTTAATAGTCTCTATAAGCCTCTACTTTCTCAATTACCAAATAATATAATGCCCACTTCTCAGGTTGTTGTAAGACTCAAATGAGATAATGAATCTATAGAAATCTGTCCCACTCAAGAGTGAAGGTTATAGTCTAAGTTGCTTGTTTTTCCATTTTTGTTTTCTTCTTAACTTTAGAATAGGTAACAGAAAGTCACTTTAGGCTGGGCACAGTGGCTCATGCCTGTAATCCCAGCAATTTAGGAGGCCATGGTGGGCAGAAGGCTTGAGTCCAGGAGATTGAGACCAGCCTGGGAAACATGGCAAAACCTTGTCTCTACAAAAAATAAATAAATAAAAAATTAGCCTTGTATGGTGGTATGCACCTATAGTCCCAAATACTCAGGAGTCCGAGTTGGGAGGGTAGCTTGAATCCATGGAGGCCGAGGCTGCAGTTAGCCGTGATGGTGTCACTGCACTCCAGCCTGGGCAATGGAGTGAGAACTGTCTCAAAAAAAAAAGAAAAAAAAGGAAGTCATTTTAAACTCAGGAATAGTAGAAACAGAAAGAGTGGAACCAAATTTTGCAGGATCTTATGGGCCTGTCTTATGATTGGGAAGTTGTATATATGAGAGGGATAAGGGCCTGCACACTGAACCACTGAGAGCTGCTGGAGTACACAAGCCAGGACTAGAAGCTTCTGGTGTTCTTGGAAAATTCAGAGTCACTGAGAAATATACTAATAAGAACTAGGCAAATTATGATCCTGCCTTTATGGAGTCCTTGAAGTACTGAAACTGGCACATCCCTCTGCATCAGTTTTAAATTACAAATACTACCACTTATTTATTCAAAAAATCTGTTTTGAGTGTCTATTTACACGCCAAACATTACACATTAACTGCGGAAAAGCCAGAAATCTCTTCCTCCATCGAATGTATCTTGAATCAGTGTGAAATAAAACATATGTGTGTGTTTCATGTATTAGTCATTATGTGTGTTCCACACTGTAATCGTTTCTTTATAATATTTAGAGAATTGAAAGAAAAAATTGTTATAATAGACTGAGACAGCAAATGATAAATACAGGCAATGAACAAACTATCTAAAATATTTCCTGCCACAAAAGACACTTCTAGGTAGCCATTAGTTTTCTACTTAAGCCTATTTTTATTGTACAATGCAGCACCCTGAGTAATCCATTACAACTACTGTTTTATAACAATATCTTCAAAATCACTTCAAATGTTTGTTGGGTGATACTGACACCCCACAAAGCAGTGAGAATAGAAAGGGGCATTGGGGAAAAGTGAATAAAATGCAAACTATAGAAATCCCCTTGTCATATGTCAACTTCAGGAGTCTGCCTTTTCTCCATCTTCTGATGAACTGGAGCTCTAACTATGAACTCAAATTGATTAGCTACATTCTGTACATAGATAAATATAAAATCTCTAAAGATCTGTATGATACCACTGCTAAAAATTCCAACCTATCTCTTACTAACACATGAAGAAAATATTGACTGAAAAGAGTACTAGGATAATATGCACTTACATTAGCAACTTCCTAATCTCATACGCTACAGTTATTCGACACATATTTACCGAGCATGTTCTCTGTAGCTAAGCACTGAGATACAAAGATGTAAAAGACATTATCTACCTTCTTGAAGTCATAAAGGTCTAATTGTGAAGAATATTAATTAATTTTTGTTTATTTCCTTTCCCAT